AGTGCTGCAACTTAACCCCTTGGGCCACCAGGGAGGCCCTTGATTTTTATTTTTTAACTCTTTAGAGCCAAGAGGGAGAGCACAATGGACACAATGGACTACGGTGGAAGACTATGGGAGCTTTGGTGGTGGAAATTATAGTGACCACACCTGAGGGGGGATAATCCTATAATGTGGAAAAAAAAAAAAAGAAGGAAAAAAAATGGAAGGTAATAAAGAAAAAAAAATGTATTTTCTCCAAAGAAAAGAAACCAAACTGAGGCTTTTAAAACACATCTTTTCAAAAGCTCACCATAGGCAAAGAAAAATTTGAAGCCCTGCCATGGCCTTCAAGGCTTGGAACAGCCTGGTTAACTCTCTGACCCCTTTGACCATCATGCTCCTGCTGCCTACTTCGCACCATCCATCCTGGCAGCCAGCCTTCCTCAAGCATGCCATGTTGGCCCCAGGGCCTTTGCATTTGCAATCCCTCTGCCTGAACAACCTCTCCCCCAGATATTCATGTGACCTCTCACTTCATTTGTCTCTACCATCATGCCCTATATTAGGGGAGACTGTGATGACCACTTCATTTAAAATCACCCAAGCTCCCTATGCACAACCACCCACGCTCATTCTCTCATACGTGCACACACTTAGGCATAGGTAATCTCACACACACTCATACACATTCACACGCTTGATCATATACTTTTACCCATGTACACTCATGCATCTTCACACTCGGGCTCACACTGTCACACATACGCATGAACATCCAGGCACCCACACCCACAGACACTTTTATACACTCACCCTCAGATACGCTCATTTGCACACACACCCACTCACACATAGTGCTATCCTTTTTCTGACTTCACTTTTCCTATTAACCCCTATTACCAGCTGATAGTTCATGAATTTTTAATTGTCTTCCCTGACTAGAAATATGGGACTTTCTCTTTTGTAATCACTGTTATTTCTCTAGTACCTGCAATAGGACCAACACATAGTAGGGGCTTGATACTTTTCTGAATAAATGAATGACAGCATTTAGGTCACTCAAATATATCATTTCTGCTCCTACCACTGCATGCATGTTGCTATAATTTAATCACAAATTTCATGAAGAGAAAAGTTAGAAAGCATGAAGGCTGCACCTTCGAATATAGAACAGTCGTATGGCTCCCGGGCTCGCTAAGCCATGATGAACCCCATCTGTCCAGTGGCATGAAAACGTCTCCAGTTCAGGTGAACGGCACTTGGTGAATTTTGGCTTCCCAGAAGAATCTGTAGGATAAAAACAACAGGCCAGGCA